CTATACAAAGAAAACTATAAAACACTGTTAAAAGAAATAGAAGAAGACACAAAGAAATGGAAAGACATCCCCTGCTCATGGATTGGAAGAATAAACATTATTAAAATGGCCATCCTACCAAAAGCAATATACAGATTCAATGCTATTCCAATCAAAATTTCAATGACATTCTTCAAAGAAATAGAACAATTATTGATGAAATTCATATGGAATCACAAAAAAACCCAAATAGCCAAAGCTCTCCTGAAAAAAAAAGAAGGGAATGGAGGCATCACACTCCCAGACTTCAAACTATACTACAAATCCATAATCATCAAAACTGCATGGTATTGGAACAAGAACAGACATACAGACCAAAGGAATCGAATAGAAAATCCAGAAATAAACCCACAGATTTATGATCAACTAATCTTTGACAAAGGAGCAAAGAATATGCATTGGAGCAAAGAAAGTTTGTTCAATAAATGGTGCTGGGAAAACTTGGTCACTACATGCAAAAGAATGAAGCTTGACCACTACCTCACACCATACACAAAAATCAACTCACAATGGGTTAAAGAACTAGACATAAGACCTGAAACCATAAAATACATAGAAGTAAATATAGGCGAAACACTACATGATATTCACATCAAAGACATCTTTACAGGCACATCACCCAAAGCAGTGATAGTGAAGGCAAAGATCAACAGCTGGGACTACATCAAATTAAAGAGCTTCTGCACAGCAAAAGAGACAATAACAAAAACAAAAAGAAACCCCACTGACTGGGAGAACATTATTGCACACAACACTGATAATAAAGGACTGATCACAAAAATCTGCAAAGAGCTGATGAGACTCAACAACAACAAAGAAAATAATCCAGTCAAAAAATGGGCAGAAGAGCTAAAAAGAAACTTCTCTGAAGAGGAAATGCAAATGGCCAACAGGCATATGAAAAAATGTTCAACATCACTTGTAATCAGGGAAATGCAAATCAAGACTACAATATGATACCATCTTACAGCAGTGAGAATGGCACATATTAAAAAAACTAGCAACAACAAATGTTGGCGAGGGTGTGGAGAAAAAGGAACTCTCCTGCACTGTTGGTGGGAGTGCAAACTGGTCCAACCACTATGTAGAGCTGTGTGGAGATTTCTGGACCTACTAAACATAGAGCTTCCATATGATCCAGCAATTCCACTCCTAGGTATTTACCCAAAGGACACAGAAACATCAATTCCAAAGAACACCTGCACCCCTATGTTTATAGCAGCACTATTTACAATAGCTAAGCTTTGGAAACAGCCCAAATGCCCAAAAATAGATGACTGGATCAAGAAGATATGGTACATATATACCACGGAATATTACTCAGCATTCAAAAAAGAGAAACACATTCAATTTGCAGCAACATGGATGGTGCTGGAAGGGATCATGCTCAGCGAAATAAGCCAGAAAGAAAAAGAAAAATACCGGATGGTCTCACTCATAGCAGGAATCTAGCAAACTTAAATAAGGGACCAGGAAAATGAATAACTATAAGAAAGTGAAAATCAAAATCAACAAAAAACTATGAACCAGAGACACTTTTTGAGGGGTGGGGGTGGTGGGAGGGGAGGGATTGGGGTCAGAATGGGGGGGTTGATATTGTATGGGGAATATAAAAATAAAATTTATTATTTAAAAAAAAATACTGAAAAAAAATAATATTAAAGAGAAAAAACAAAACCTGAACCTACTACTGAAAAACATTAAGACATCAAAGGCACAGTATAGTAATATACATGACAGTACGGTATTATAATAACCAAAATGCTGAGACTAAAATTTAATTTTTTTCAAACAAAACCAAAAAGTGATACAACAGAGGTGCTAATTAGTACTACCATGGAAATGGTATTACAATATATTTATGTATCATAATGTACAAATTAACAAAGACATTCACAATGAAATTAAGGTATTGTCAGTACTTCGAGGAAAACAACAGAGCTTGAAAATCATAACGGATCAAGCAGAAGTAAAAATCTGAGTTAGCAACCCAGAAAACTGTGTGGCGGTTGCTCAAATTACTAAAAATGGAGCTACCACATCACCCAGTGATTCCACTCCTAGGAATCTACCCAGAGGACACTATTTACAATAGCTAAGATAATGAATCAACCTAAATGTACAAAAACAGATGAGTGGATCAAGATGTGCTGTAGATACACAATGGAATACTACTCACCAATCAAAAGATAAACTCATGCCATTTGCAACAACATGGATGGAGCCAGAAAGGATTATAATCAGTGAAATAAGTCAGAAGATAAAGATAAAGGAAGCTACCCACATGGTCCCCTCAGTAGTTTATTTATCAATCCACCTTTTGTGTTCCCCACGCTGTCTCTGGTGAATCCTCTCATAGCCCCAGCACCTCTGACATGTACCCCAGTTCTTGTATGCATAAACCTTTTTTTCAAAGACAGGGACTTGAGAATATCCAGCAGATAATAACAAAGATATAAAAATTAAAGAGTGGGGAAATACTTTGATTCATAAACGCCATTAAAAGAAACAATTTGCGGGGCCTCCCTGGTGGCGCAGGCGGTTGAGCTCTGCAATGTGAAGCTGTTCACAGCCTCTGCAGCACGGGTTGGCCAGCTGGCCAGCAAGGATCCCACATGGCATGACAGACCTCTCCTGTCTTGCCTGCTGCTCCCCTCAGCAGTGTATTTCGTCAGTCTGCCTGTTCTGCTCCCTGCTCTGTCTCTGGTGAATCCTCTCACCCTCCCATGCCTCTGGCCTGTACCCCAGTTCCTGTACAAAAATAAATAAATCTTAAAAAAAAAGTAGCAATTCGCAACTTATTGGAGCCTTAGAGAAGAGAGAAAAGGAGGAAGAATGTTTAAAGAAGTAATGACTAAGAACTCACCAAATCTAGTGAGATATTGGATATTCATGAAGCATGTCATGTGTCTTCAAGACAGGTTTGGGGGACTGGGTTCAAGTTACCAGTGTAGACTCAACCTGAACTTACCTCCTTCCATGGACACAACAAATGTACACTTACAAATGGAGTAATTTCACAGGGAAGGAGACCTGAAAACCAGACACAAAGATATCCCACAACAAAGGATAAAATAATATCAAAGTCCTGTGTGGAAAGGAAAAAAGAAATAAGGTCTGGCTGAGGCAAATGACTCACTCGAAGTGTAGAGATTAGTTAGAATTAGGAGGTGCAGAACTTTCCCCGGGGGTAGGGAATGGTGCCCTGGATGGGGAAACAATTCTTCACTTCTGCACAGCATAGGTGGGCTCCAAGATGGGGCTGGTGAAAAAAACCCACAGGAGAAGACAAAAACTACAGGGAATGGAACTTACTCTAAAAGGGTCTGCAAACAGGGCCTCCCTGGTGGCACAGGGGTTAAAGTCTCAGGGCTATCAAGACGCAACCTATGAAGCTGTCCGCAGCCTCTGCAGCACAAGTTCGATCCTGGCGCACCAGGCAGCTACCCCCATTATGCAGCAGACCTTTCCTGACTTGCCTGCTCTGTCTGGCTTTGACCAAGTATGGCCGCTTGACTCCGCCCTGAGTCCCAGCAACCCCCACGCCAAGAGGTCAAGTGTCGCCGCAGGTGTCTGGCATTATGGGAGCTGTAGTCCTCGGCGCTTGGTCTCTCTTTGGCATTGCGGGTAGAGTCCATAAAATATCAGTGGGTGGAATTCATTCAGGACAAATTGCTCCCCCAATGTTTCCTTACGAGGGTTGGAAGGATTTTTTTCTGGCTTCTCCCAGAGCTTCTGGTTGTCCCCTGACCAAATCTTCCAGCCCTTGGCACGGAACTGCATTGTCTGTTGTCTATGTCCATGTCCACAGGGCCTGTTTGTCTCCAAATTTCCGGTTTCATGAGGACACCCGTCATGTTTTTGAGGGACCCACCCGACTCCTGTATGACCTCATCTTAACTGATTCCATGTGCAATGGCCCTATTTCCAAATGAGGTCATATTCTGAGGCCCGGGGTGGGGGGGGGGTTGGATCATCAAAGTAAGAATTTGGAAGGATGGGAGGGGACCCTGTTCGACTCTAAACAACATCCATCGAGAGAAATAGCCAGGAACATTTTCCACTGAGGCTTGTAGAAGGCAAAAGACTGAATTCCGCAAGGAGAGCTTTTCGGGGACCAGGCGGAGGGGTATAATTGTCAGGGATGCTGGAGAGACAGAGTTCCTGGAAAAACAAGGGCTCAGAGGCTAGTGTCCAGGGTCAGTCCCATAAGTGCCTCTGTCGTTTCAAGGCTCAGTTTCTTTACCTGAGAAATGGGGATAAAAAAGTCCACACAGGGACCTCCCTGCTGGCGCAGCGGGTTGAGCACCATGATGTGAATCTGTCCACAACCTCTTCAGCACAGGTTTGACTCCGGGCGGCCAGGAAGAAACCCACATGGCTGGCAGACAGAAAGGGGCTCTCATGCCCCTCCAGGGGTGCCCTCGCCACCAGCATCTGTGTTCATGCACCAGGGAGCTCTCCAAACCCTGTCCTTTCAGGGTCTAAGGAAGTTTCATTGATCACTGACTGAACCCAGTCTCCAGCCCTTCACCCCTCTGGGGAGTCCGGGGAGCTGAGGCTCCAGCCTCCTCATGGCTCGGTCAGATGCCCTGGCAACAGCCCCATCCCCAGGTGCTTCCCCAAAGATGCCACTCAGTGCCCCCCCACCCCTGAGGAAATTTCAAGGTTACAAGCTTGGTCTGGAGGCAGAAGGGAAGTGATAGTGGGGTGCGGGGTCACGGCAGGAATTATAGGGGTTGAGGAGAAGGTGAGGGAGCAGGTGTGGGGCTGGGATGGGAACCCGGGTGGGTTTGGGGTTGAGCTGGGGACTGGGTTTGCAAATAAACAAGCAGTTAGCTCAGAGAGTAGGGGCGGGGCTGCACTGCCCCAAGGTCGCGCGCTCCCCTCGCCTCGGCCCCGCCCTCGCGCGCGCCTGGAACCACGGGCTTCCTCAACGGTCCTGTGCTGAAGCCATTAATGCCCCGGCCTGGCTCTGCTGCCGCGGGCCTGGCGAGCGTGTGGGCAGCACAGGCGGTCACCTCACCGGGGAGGGCGTGCCCTGGGCGAGCAGCGCTTTGGCCTCCCCGGGGCCAGCTGTCCCGGGACTGCAGACTCAGCCTTCACGACAGCTTCACTTCTGGGTCACGCTCAGCTTCCTAGAAGTCCAGGTGCTGCGTCTCACCTGGCCGCACACCTGTACCACACACCTGCTGTTAGGTGAATGTGGCCAATGCCTAGTGCTGGGATGGGGAGGCTGGCCTTGGGGGGATCCTGCACACACCTCCCCTCTCACACTGGAGATCTCTGCCAGAGACCCCCCAAACCCCCCAACCTGGAGCAGAACTGTCTAGGAAGAGACATGCCGGCAGGATGTCAGCCTGCTCAGAAGCTGTCATGAGGTGGTTCTCCACCTGCCAAGGCCCTCAGCTCCAACCAGGGACCTGGGAGTCCGAGCTCCCCACCACCCTTCCTCCCTTGGGACCTGGACTCTGGGTCCCGGGTCTTCTTCCTTCAGCTTCAGGCACCATGGCCCCAGCCCCTTCTTTTTGTGAAGACCCTTGAATTGCTCCACCACCCCCAATTCGGTCTCCCCAAACAGGAAAGTATGACGCATTGTGCCACAACGGACCCCTCTGGCCACATCCCCTTGTATTCACAGCCCAGCACATTCACATCTGGAGTCCCAAACTCTCTCACCTCTTCCAGGAAGCCCCCCGATGATTCGAGCTTTAGGTGGTGGTTCAAGCTCGAGGCACTGGAGTTAGAGCCTGAAACACACAACCCTCCTCTCAACCACAAACGACACCCTCACGCTCTCCCTGACACACTGAGGAGAGGGTGTGAAGGCAGCTGTCAGGATGGGTGAAAGCAAACCCACCTTGTCGTCAAAGACACTCCTCCCTGCCGGGGTCTCTTCCAGGAGCTCAGGGGAGCCCGGAGCACAGCCCCTCAGCGGACGCCCATGGAGCCCTGCCGGACACTGGCTGTGCTGGCTGGCTGCCTGGGCCTCGTCTTCATCCTGGTGGCTGTGAGTACAGATTTCTGGATCATGGACACTGGACCTAGATTTTCAGCTCACTTGGGCCTCTGGCCAAGGAGCCGTCGGGACCCAGTGAAAAGTAAGAGGGTCCCTGAGGGGACGGAGGGGACCGGCCAGGCAGCACCGGTGCTCAGAGGTCTGGTCTGGCGCAGGCTACATCCATGTGACACGGATTTTTGCCATTTTGTCGGCCCTGCTGGGGCTGGTGTCCGTCGGGTTCCTGGTCCTGTCCTGCATCCCCTCCTGGTCCGCCCCGGTCCGCGGGCCCCTCGTCTCGTGCATCACGGGCTTTGCCGCAGGTAAGAAGTGGGGTTGGCCCAAGCAGGGGCAGAGGGCCCCTACAGCAGGCTTGACGCCCCCGACTGTCCTGATCCAGCCCTCTGCGCCACAGTGGCCATGGCGGTCTACACCATTGAGTGGTGGAGCCGGATACCCTCGACCCCGGCCCCGTCCTACTTCTCCTGGTCCTACTACCTGGGCTGTATGTCAGTTGCCTTCCTGGGCATTACAGGTGAGCGCGACCCTGGGCGCGGGAGGCCGGCAGGGGCTGAGGGAGGAGGGCTGCCCCTGACCATGTCTGTGACCCAGGGAGCTTGAGCCTGGCCGCCCACTACAGGAGCCCCTAGCCTGCCTATGAGAGGACGTGAGCGGAAGGCGTCACTCACTCTTGTGGAGCTACCACAAAAGTAGCCCAGGGCATCCCTGGTGGCACAAGGGCTTGAGACCGCACAATGAGGCTGTCCGCAGCCACTGCAGCTCGAGCTCCATGCCCGGCCAGGGAGCTACCCACATGGCGCAGCAGACCTCTCCTGTCTCCCTGCTGCTCCCCTCAGCAGTGTATTTCAGTACATCTGCCTGTTCTGCTCCCCACCCTGTCTCTGGTGAATCCTCTCCCTCTGCACACCTCTGGCATGTACCCCGGTTCTTGTATGCATAAATAAATAAATCTTAAAAAAAAGAAAGACGAGCGCAGAAATCCTGCCCCTCATGCTGTCCCCCTACCCTCTTTGGTTTCTTCACCTGGTCAAGTAAAATTCGCTGAATGTGGTTATTCTGAGATTGATTGGGTCGTGACAGAAGCCAGGGCTGGCCGGCTGCATGGTGCGGACTTAGGGCCCCAGAGAGGAGTCAGGCACACCCCTCCTCTTCCTGCACACCAGGGTCCATGAGTTCGGAGGGGGCACAAAGTCCAGGAGGGTTCTGAGAAAGGCTGATCACATCTGGGGGTGCAGGGACATCTGGGGCCGAGAAAAGGTAATCAGATGGAGGCACCTAAAGGTAGAGCTGTGGAAAGACCAGCTGTTTTTAGAGGATGCAGAGGAGATCTCTGTGGCCGGAATGCTGGGGGGATTCTGGTGGAAAGTGAGAATGGACAGAGGGCGGTGGGAGACGGGCTCGAAATCCCAACTGATTCTGTCCGAGGTAGCTGGGGAGCTAGGAGAATGTTATCAGGGGAGGGGAGCATCCACTTGGGGTACCACAAAGCCCCCTTGGGATGGGCACAGGAGCCTGGGGGTTGAGGGAGGAACTTGGTGACTCAGTGGGTCCCACAGGAGACAGGTGGGCCCATGAGGGGCCTGCCTGGGGCCAGGCACTAGATGGACAGGAGAGAGGGAACCAGGACATTTAGGGGGTGGACGGAACCAGAATCCGAGGTCCAAGGGCAATTCGGGGTGACAAGCTGGAGGGGGCACATGTAAGGCCAGCAGATCTGGGGCCCCTAGACCAAACACGGGACAGTGAACCATCCCTGCTGTGGGGGACGCCGCCGGGCTCAGCTGAGAGGGGGCTGAGGATCAGAGGGTGTGGGAGGCAGCTAAGCAGGGCTGGAGCTGGGGGTGAGCTCTCGGGGAGAGGCACTGCATGGAGCAGGAGGGGCCTGGAGGAACGTGGGCTCTGAGACGTGGAGGGAGGAGGGCGGAGCTGCAGGGGCCTGGGAGGGCTGAGCACAGCAGGAGAGTTTGGGGTCAGGGCAGAGCAGTTTCTAGAGGACCAGGGTCTAGACTGTCAGGGTCCAGACCTGCCAAGTGTCTCTGAGCTGTCACCTGCAGGCCAACTGTGTGTGTGTGTGTGTGTGTGGTTATCTCTGTGAATGGCCGCTGCGGGAGAGTGTTCTGGAACCCCCGCAGACTCACAGAGACCCAGTCTCCCATCCCCCTCCTCCCTGGGCGCTGTGTCTGAGATCTGGGAGGGGGGTGTGAGTCACTTAGGTGGGAGTGTGCTTTGGGGAGGGGGGCACTGGACAGACCTAAGGGTCACCCCTCCCGGGGTGGAGGTCTCTGGGAGACAAGAAGTTGCCTAAGCGGGGACTCCTGGGGAGCAAGGCCTCATCCCTAGTGGGAGTCTTAGGGAGGGGGAGGGAGGAACCCTGAGGGAGGATACTTTCCAGATTCCCAGGAGTAAGGGCCTGGGTGCCGGGGTGGCATCCGGGATACAGAGTGACCAGCACAAGGGGTCTCTGGCAGGAGAGGAGCCTGGGGAAGAAGCTCCCAGAAGCTGGGCCAGGCCCTTGGCCTATACTGCCCCTGTGGCTCTGAAGACAGGTTCCCTGGCATGGGATGAAGTGGAGCCTCCAATTGGGGGGGCACCATCCTGGGCTTCTTAGCCAACGTGGTCACCATTCTCTCCACTGCCTCCAGCTACTGGATCCAGCACCACAGGGGCCACAGCGGCCTGTGGCAGGACTGTTAACAGGGGCGTCGCCTCCAATCTACCCTGCCCGAGTGGGGCCCGCCTACCCCAGCCCCCCTAGATCCTGCTCCAGCCCCCCTAGATGGCGACCCCGCACTGACCGCAGTGGTCCCTGCCCCTCCCCCACAGCTGGGCACCTACATCTTTTCCAATTCCAGTCCCAGATCCAGCTGCCCCTCGGTGACCGAGGCCACCACACACCCCCACGTGGGTGACACAAGGCCCCCCATGTCCCCACCCATCTCCTGACTTCGGGTGGGTGAGCTCAGCAGTGTGGCAGGGAAGGCCCCTCCTGCGCCGCAGACACCCCAGTGACCTCCCAGGGACCCCCAGCACGTGCCGCCCGCTCTCGACCCCGCACCCCAGGCAGAGGCGCCCTTGGAGCCTGACCGGGCCCGGGCCGCCCGCGCTCCACCCCCGGGCCCCACCGCGCGCACCGCCGCCTCCCACCGGGCGTGCGCTCTCTGCCGCCCCAGGACCGGGAGCCCCGACGCCGGCCCCGGGGTCCCCGCGCCCGCAGCCGGCCGGGGGCGCAACAGGGGAACGACTCCCACCGCCGCGGCCCCCGGGCCTTTCCGGGCGGGAGCGGGGCGGGCCGACCTCGCGGGCCCGGGCGTCCACGCGCGCGGGGCGCGGGCGGGGACAGGCTCGGGGCGGAGCCGGCCGGGGCTGGGGGGGCAGGGAAGGAGGAAAGACTGGAGAGGACAGGGGCGCGGTCTGGAGGGGTCCGGGCGGGCAGCGGCGCAGGAAGAGGAGGGGGCACCACGGAGGACGCGGGTTTGGGGGGCGCAGGGGCAGAGCTGGGGTACCGGCGCGTGGGGCACAATGGGGAGACAGACGCGGGCGGGGCGACTTGGCGGGGCGAGGAGGAGGTGGGAGTCCGCAGGGAGGGGAGGATTCGGGCTCGGCAAGAGGATAGGACGGCGGGCTGGGGCGAGCTCTGCTCCGGGGCGCCCCGCCCCTGCAGGACCGTTCCCCCAGCTCCCGGCCACGCCCCCCGTCGCCGCTCCCCTTTCCGCCCGGGTCCCGCCTCCCTCCCCGACCCCTCCTCATTGGTCGGCATCCGCCTGCCACGCCTCCCTCCGGCCGCCCGATTGGTGCTCCCCCGGGGGGAGGCGGGCGCTGCCGCGAGTGACTGGCTGCCGGAGGGGGCGCAGGCGCAGAGAAGGGCGGGGGCGGGGCGCCGGCCGCCCGAGTCCGAGCGAGCGCGGGACCCCGCGGGGGCTGCCGCGGGAAGATGGCGGAGCTGCGCGCGCTCGTGATCGACTTCGCCGTGAAGGTGACCGAGGCCCCCTCCCACCTCCCTGAGCCGGGACCGAGTGCCTCCGGGATCGTGAGTGCGCACTGTGTGGGGGTGCTCTCGTCACCCCGATGTCTGCCTCTCCTCCCCAAAGTCAAAGTCACCCCGAGGGCAAAGATCAGGCGCCGACCTGAGAGGTTCTGACAGCTGCTCTCTCCTCACGCCCCCCCGCCCCGGGGTGACCCGGGACCCTCCGCCTCCCCTCCTGGGCTCTCCCTGAGCACTGTGCTGAGCGGGCGTCTCTTTCTCTCCGCTGCGGCAGCCAAGGGCCTGTTGAACAATCGGACAAACGGAGGCGCAGAGCGGCCACTCCGCTGGGAGGGGCGAGAGCCGCGATGCCCCGTCCAGCTCCGTGGGACGGCTCGTCCGCACCCGGGCTCTGCACCCGAGGGAACTTTCACAATTCGCCTGCGCTGCAAACGCCAGGGGCTGTTACCGCCAGGAAGCGTGCCCCGGGGGTCAGACTGGCTCCTGGGGACCCAGACGCCCTCTTTCAGCCTCCACGGCCACAGGGAGAGTGAGGAGGCTCTCGCTAGGAAAGGAAGGGGGAGTGTGTCTGCTGGAGATGAAAGCCAGTCCTCTGACCCATAGCTGACATTGTTCCCGGGAAGGAAATTTCTCGGCTTGTCCCCAGGGAGATGCGAGTCTGGACAGAGCTGAACCGGTCCTGCAGGCCAGTACTTGAACCAAGTACTTAAACCAAGCTGAGGGGGGATGACTGTCCACCCACGCCTGCCAACCCCCCACCCCATCAGACTGGGAGCTCACGTCCATGTGCCCAGCACTGCCCAGCCCAGGGCCTGGCATGCTGGAGGCCTTGGACTGCTGAAACTAAACTGGGGTCACCGAGTCGACCCTGCTGACTTGAGGGCCTAGGAGCCAGACCCAGCATGGAGGCTCAACTGCTGGTGCTGGCTCAGCTCCTGGGCAGAGAGGAGCTAGTTCCATCCTTTCAGAACCTTCCAGATGCTGTTAGTGCCCTCGGACTGGCAGGGACACAGAGGCCTGTGGGGTCTGTGTTACCTGTTGAATCGTGCAGCTCGACAGAGGCGAGACTGGAGGTCACCCCAGGCCTGCTCGACTCTAGGGGCTCCCTTCTGTCTCCACTCAATAGCCACGTGGCTTGGTGACCGGGTTGTTGCATCCTGAGTCCTGGCTCCTCACTCTCCTGGATTCTGTCTACCTCTGGCTGTCCCTTTGGGTTCCAACAGCCCCCGAACTTCCCTTGCCCCTACCCTGGCCCCTAACCTGATGTCCTGGTTCCTATCAGTCTCCCCCACTGGGTCCCCTCTGGGCCCAGCCTTGCCCAGCACAAGACCGGCATCCGGGAATGAGCAAGGGGTGGAATTGGGAAAGCCCTTGTGTCCACTCCCATTCTCTTTTCCTCCTACAGTGCCCTAGGGCGCCTAGCATCACATCCGGGAAGGTCTGTTGCTGTCCCTTTCTGAATAGATAAATGTTTACAACACTGCCAGTCCCTAATTACAAGCGCAGACACACCCTATGGGAGCAGACCTCCCCCCTGCCTCCGCTCCTCTCTCACCCTCGTCACTTATGGCCTGGCCCTCTTGCCCTCTTGCTCTCTCTTCTCCATCCTCACGACCCTTCGAGTTGAGGCCCTGCCACTGCCTTGTTTTGTGACTTTGGGTGAGGCATCAGCCTCCTGGGCTGCAGCACAGCCGAATGAATTCAAATGGGCAATAACAGACTTAGTCAAGAAGGAGAAAACTTGAAGACAAATTTAAATTACCTAGTTAGAGAAGCAAAAAAAAAAAAAAAAAAGAAGAATGCCTGAGGGACTCGCGGGCACTAGCAAGCAAACCAACACTCCTAATAAGAAAGAAGAGGCAGAAGGGAGCGGAAAGCTTGTAAGAACCAACTGTGTCATCTTCCCATGCTTGATAAGGAAACCTACAAATTCAAGAAGCCTAAATAAATCCCAAGTAGAATGAAGAGAAACATATCA